AATAACCGTGCACTTTCGTGCGCCGGTTTTGAATGCTGTCTTTTCGTCGCCCATTTGGATAAACTAGAAGGATGGAGATTGGAAGTTTGAAAGCCAATTGAAACAGAAGGTAGAAACTTCATAGAGACCGCTGTTAAGAGGATAATGACTGGTTTGCTGAAAACTGATTTCAATTTACTGAGGCGTGACCCCTCAATGATCAGCAGTGCCTCCCAAGTTCCGTTATCTGTTCTGATCGACAATATGTGTAATGCTCACATTGAGGTGTGCTTGAAGTATGCTGACAAGATCCTATCTGATTGCACCCATCCTTTACACATTGACCTTTGTGCATGAAAATCCCACCCGTTCTAAGTACAAACTCATCCCGCTTCGCAAATTTTCCAACAGAAACTCTTTGGTAACCTATTTTGCCCGGATACCGACCGACAAGAAAGTGTTCGTTCTCAGCTTTGTAGTTAACTCATTTTTGCACGTTTTACCTTGCACCTTTTTAACCTCTTTTTTACCAGGATTGTAACGGTGGTCTATTTTTGGCTGAAAGCTAGTATATAACTCGCTAAAGCCTCAATACACTACAAGCCGAATGCCTGGAAAAGTTGGAACAGTGGCATGATTGCAAAATCAAAGCCTCATCACTCATCTTTTCAGTAAATAACTCCAATCGTTTTGGCGTTCACCAGTTACCTCCGGGCGTGAATCTCTATAGAGCACCATTGTTTGTTCTAATCCAAGTTATGCCATTCTGATCGCATATTATTACTAAGGTGGCATGATCAATTATCGCTCTTGCATCTACCCAAATTAGTAACATCGTAGTATACTGTACTACTGTAGTTGTCCTTTTCTGTTTTCCACCGTTTATTTTGTCACAGCAGCCGAGAATCTTGACATTCGTACACCAAATGAACGATCGTATAACAAATCAATTGCTGAGTGTCAGAGCGGTGTCAAAATTATTCAGCCTAGATCGTATCGATTTAGAATAAGTGACAACGCGATCTTTATTCCCACTAGACTTTTTATTATAACAATACCTTTTGTTTGCATTCTTTTATTTCTCATCAGTTCGACCTGATCAGCAACGACAGCCCAAAACAGACCGCCTCTCCACAAGGCAGATGAGCCCTGGTCCCAGTAAGCCGAGAAATAAAAAGCGAAAAACTCTCTCGGCGTTGTGCCTTTCCCGCCCGCTTCCAGATGCTAACATGTAACATCATTTGAATAAAAAAACATCCCTATGATATCCTGCTCGATTTTTTGTCGCGTTCTTAGTGTTGCTTCAAAGTTGGAAGTGTATCGTTGACCACGGGTCGTCCTTTCGAGATGTCTTGTTACAATCCGGTTATGTGGCGCCTTCGAAGGCCTCAGTATAGTCGGGGTGTGTCTGGGATTGTGACTGGTCACCATTTCCTTACACGTCGCGAAATGCTATATATGACCAAGTGTCTCAAATAGCCTCTGCTCAAGAAGCCCTACTCACTGCATTCCCGTGGCGGTGTTTTCCCAGCAAAGTGATACTGTGATGGAAGGCAGTACAAAGGGAGTCCTGGTTAGCGACCGAATCAAGAATGAGGCTCATCCGACCAGACGCAGCGGCGGGAAGTGCCTCGCGAGACAATGTTGACTGCCACCCGAAACGAGCAAATCGACAATTACAGCGCGACAGACAATCCGCAGCTAACGGGAAAGATACCCACCGAATGCCACAACGCCGGAGTTGCCGATCAACGCATCTCGTGCCGCGATCGGGTCAAACCAGTCGGAATGGCACGCGGAAGAGGCAACGTACGTGCCAAGTGCGGATCAAAACCAACAAGGAATGACCCACAGAAAGAGGCATGAATCATCCCGTCGCGCGGTTGAGGTTTGATTTTGTATATAATCGAACGCATACACTGTTTGCTTTGGAATTGGATCAATAGACGTTTTCTCAGTCAGCTCGCCTTCTCGTTACAATAGGACGAAAAGCCGACATCCGGGTTGGTGAACCTTTGGCAGTTCACCTAGGGGAATTGGCTAAAAGCCCTGATTCCAGACCAACCAAGAAGACCCGTAAAATCCACAGGCTTACCTTCCTGGTCACCGGCTCAATTGGGTGCCTTGGACATTTGACCCCGTCCAAAGGGCGTATGATCCAGTCAACTAGACACCGGCCCCCAATGGACTGCGGACTCTGAGCTCCGTCCTGTTGTCTTGCAGGTCTGGCTTTCTAGCCAATGGCTTCGGGTCGGGACCCCGAGTCTATCCCCCTTCCTCCGCCAGGTCAACCGGGGAGTAACATGCCCACACAACCCATGAACACATTCACCAAATTTCTTCCAGTTTATAAGTTGTGGCATATTTGCCAATTCTCTGTAACTGGTTACGTGTTAAATAATAATAATGTGGCGCTCTCAGCCATGCATTGCAAATATTTGTACGTCCAATCAGTCAACCGGGTTCAACACTATAGGAGCGGTTTCTTAGATTTACGCAACCCAGAAAGCGACCCCTTGCACTTCTAAGTGGAGAGTCGGGGATCTATCAACCTTCGCTATGGATTACGTTGGTAAAATTCAGCTTTCGAGGATAGATACCACCACCTACTGTCTACTTTTGGTGTCCCCCCGTGAATCTATAATCATGGACACAGTAGCATGCATATCCACGAACGTCGGTTCTTTTAGGTGATAGAGGAATGAACGTCATTGCCGCGAATTTGTAACATTTACAGGTCTACATTAGATGGTGGAGTAATTCATCTAAGTAAATGGGCCTTCACTTCACCCGCTGCCTTTCGGCTAGGCTCTTGTCAGAACTAGTGGCTTTGGTTGAGAACCCTAATCGTTCTCCTGCCTAGTGGCTGGACACCCTAGCAGTGTCCGTTCGTCAAACCCCAATGCATATGCAGTGCGAGTTTAGCAGCGACCAGTGAAGTTCGCTTCTTTGTATTTCGCTGTGCGATAATGACGTTACCTTCATTTTATGTGCCTCTGTAAGTTGGATGAGTAATTCGAATGTGATAAGATCAGTTTTTTCGATGTGGCCTCGTAGCTCAGCTGGTAGAGCGTTCGCTGTACAAAAGCTGAGGCGGCGTCCATGTGTGGGCTCAAACCCCACCGAGGCTACTGAAAACTTCACAATCGACATGCAAATTTGTACAAATCAATAACACTTGAGATACTTCGATGGATTCTGTAGGACACTAAAATTTCGTTTATTTGGTTAATGTGATCACGATCCAACACTACTTGTTCGGAGGCCTTGTCTCGCTTAAGGACAATAAATTCGTTCCCCCTCCAGGCTTTAGTTTCCGACTTGCTGCACTTCACTGGGGTTTCACAATAAGATACTGTTGAGAGCAATAAACTAAATTGATCTTGAAAACTTCTTTTGCCTCCCCAGATGTTGCCTACCATACTTATTGAGAATAAAGGTTTTCAAACCGAACTTCAACTAGTTGGTTATTCTGACGTATCAAACAGTAGAAATTTAATCCTAAAGATAATGCATCATCAAGATCCGTTCACATTGTCATGCACAAAAGCTGTGCACATGTCGCTCAGGATGTATTGGTAGAGTTACACTTAGTTTCATCTCGCTTATGGGATCCCGAAGTTTGGCAAACTTCTTAACGGGTTGTTTCGCACAAAAGCTGTTCGAACCCGACCCGTGTGTTTTCATCCAATAGACCAGTCACGTTTCTCCTATGCGCAGTGGGTCTACTAGGCCTCTTGTATGAAGTTACACTCTGCTGGAATCCGGTCTGTTTCTTGAACACCTTGGGGATTTCTAGTTATTTGGGTATTCGTTTCGTTCTATGCATTTGCTTACGAATTCTATTACTGACGCTTCTGTATGGTTTGGAAACACAAATAAAGATTCAGCTACATAACAGACAGTTTATCCTCGCGAATATGTAGCACACTGAAGATTCCCGCTGTAATATAGGAGAAAATACGAAATTGGCTACACAAGTGGAACCATCAGGTATTTTTCCCAGAGGAAAAATGAACACAAACCAGCCACCGGGGTTAGGAAAACCATCTCCAGTGCCATTTTGGAACATCTCGCACGTACAGGACACCTTTTGAATGAAAACGCTTTCAGGGTGATCTACCGGGTGCTTCTTTATCCAGGCTGTTCTTCAACTATATTGGGCAACGGCAGAGGCAGTAGCCATCCGTCTGTTTCATCCAACGCCCTGTCCCCAAAAGCGATTTGTCTAAGCATGTCAACTGTCATGGCCCCGGTGTGAGTTCAGTGGCATGGCTAGAGGTGACCTCATGGCCCGAACAGGTGATGGTTACTGATTTGATCCTAACTTTGATGTGCCTCATTGTCGCTCCTCGTTTCATCATTCTCTTATTTAGGCAGGAATGCAGCAATATCGGAGTGCGCTTAGCCACGTATGTTTTAGAATGGTGCCAACAAAAAGATGCACCTACCAATTTGGAAAAAACCCACTTTATTTCTCTATCAACGTTTTAATGCTTATTTTCGTTGACTACTTATGAGTAACCTGGTATTTTCAAACTGTCGGTGGCCAATTGGTACGACGAACTGAACTGCAGTGTTTTATAATAAACAGAACCACATACTATGATTTTTATAGAGGGAAAACATAGACCCATTTTCAAGTTATCACAAAAATCAAATCCGCATTAGCCATAACAAGGGAATGCGAAGAGACAGCCGGGATTTTAGACCCATTCATGGTCATGCGCAAGGGAGACAAACGACATTTGCAGAACATCAGGGAGAAATATCGAAGGACAGCACCGACTAAAAAAGAGGGAGCAGGAGAAATTAGGTATCGTTGCATTGGGGATTCCGTTTTCAATAGCCCCTAAAGAGCTCGTCTCTACGTGAATTCCGATTTTGGCAAATCGGTGGAGAAATAGACAAGTGAAGAAAACAATGCATCGAACAAAAGAAAACAGACGTGCCGGAAGACGAGATTACAGGTGTTCGGGTGTTGATATATATATACAACTTGTGCTACAGTTAAGTGGTTCTCAACAACCAGAAATCCCCGCACCGTCTCTGTGCATGCGAAGCCAGAATTCGAAAGCTCGATGGCAAACCGATATGAGACATTCTGGAGAACAGTATTGCCCATCCCAGCGAGGATCATCTAGCACGGCGGGCTTTGTGCACGGACATAAAACGACAGTCGGTTCGGGTTCAGGTGATGGGACAGGTTCAGGGGATGGCGGGTCTTGTTGGACCGTTTTTATGGGAACGAACTTGGATAAGGGTATGTTGTCGTCCGCATCATCCGACTCGTCATCGGTACTGTTTGCCACCACAGTCATGGTGGTTGTCGCAATATCTTCATGAATATCTGGATCCGAATGCTGGGAAAGACAGTATGTGAACAAAAATTAGTAGCACTTTCTCTGACTAACAGTCGAATGGTGTAAAATATCTAGCTGAACTGAACAAATAAAGTTATCGAGCCGGTTCCTAAGCCTTAATGCTGTCTGGAAACGCAAGTTTAAGCACGACCCAATACGCACGGAAAAACTTCATAAGCACACCGCGTTTTATGATCACTCCCGCGAACCCATAGGCAATGGTAACATAAAGAAACGAAATTCCTATCGGTATGCTTCCAAATGTGTCGGTTGTGATTCACGCATAGTGAAGCTAAATTGATCAAAGATTGTTCTTTTTCAAACGGGTGTCTTCAATCTGAATTTCCTTGGAAAACAGATCAGTTGTGACCACAGTAATTAGCTGCTTGGCATAGAAGAGCAACAGGTACCCAGTAATCTTACACATTATGAGCAACTAAAGGAGGCAATGTGATACAACCAGATAAACTGGTCAAGCTCCAGTGCGAGATAGACGACAGAAAACGACCAACTGAAAAGGAAACGGGTGAATAACGCGTAATTCACTTATCCGATAACGTAATCGGTCGTCCTTTGAATTTATTCGCGCCACTTGCCAATATTTCACATTGTAACATGATCGAAGTTTTCTCTCAGCTTAATTCCCTGAAATTGTATTTGGTTTCAAGGTTTATATGTGAGTTTATTTTCTATTTAGTTTTTCTGAGATAACCGAAAGGGAAAATCTCATGTTTTTGATGGTCCTGATCAACCACTCTTCAAAGCGCGTACAGTCTCTGGGTAACATTAGGACGGGACCGTGAAAAAATGTTGCACTTTCCCTCAGTAGAGCTCGATGGAAGGATGAATCACCGGTTACATTGTACTACATCATTGCAATTTCAGTGAGATGGTGGGGAAAAGATAAGTTACGAGATAGTCCTATATAAATTAACTGAATGAACGAAGATTCACCGATAACAGGCATGCGCACGGCAAACAAGAAAAAATTTACAAAACTGCGTTAATTTTTCGAGTGACTTTCTATTTTGGTTCCGGAATCGGGAAACTTTCAAGTGCACAATTTCTACAGTGTTTGCGAATTGCTAACTGGTATTAGAATTAGAAAAAATGGGACCACGCATACCATCGTTAAAGCTCGACTGTGATGTAGGCCGCGGGTAGATCCATTCGCAACCGTTCTCAGTCGCAACTTTGGCAGCCGCTTAGGACGGTGCTAATTGTGTAAAGATGGGGTAATTAGTATATTGAAAAACAAGAAAACAACAGGAGCAAAATGTGAATGACTGTCGATTTGTGAATGGTGGCATTTGTGGAAAAAGTATAAGTTATGCAAGTCTGATTTTGGTTTATTAAGTGTAGAGAGAATGATTTTATTAAACGGAAATTACAACGGTGTGTGTGTGCTTGATCTGGACAACAACCTACACTGTGGTAACAGGCACAAAATTACCCCTAGCAATAGTCGACAATCGGGAAACGCTTACTAATAAGCTAGCTCCTTAAAGGTTAACCAATTTCTAACAATACCCCCTCCCCTTGTTTTTGATTCGCTGACTTCAGCACCAGTACTATAAATGACTAACAAAACACTTTTAGAGCAGTGCTACTACTATCCCTTGTTAATTGGCATTTTAGTACCTTATCTTCTGGCTGTTGAGCTGTCGCCAAGACAAACTTCACCGTGTATTCCTGTTCTCTATCAACTTGATGGGTTTACAACGCCCTGTGACCACTTGGAATTCACTCTTGTAGTGCAATTTATATTCTCTTTCATTTCAAGCACGATACCAGTGACTCTAATGCAGGAGGTAGACCGAACTCGCGATAAGATAACCGAAAATATTTACAAATGACGAAAACAACGTCGTCTCATTCACAAGCTCTTCTGGATTTTACGCCTTGTACTTCTTTGAATGGACACCTTCAAGTTGTGTTCAGACACCGTGCATGAGTCTTGCTAATATTGTGCACCTCTGTTGTTGAATGGGGACATGCTCATGTTTGCCGCACTGTGCAACTCTCTATTAAAATGTGACTCAGTGTAGTGTGCCAGTGATAACGCATTCCAGTTGTGTTATCTTTTTAACACGTTTACTTTTGGTAATAAATACGCTTGATCAGACGCTATAGCCTCCAGACTATATATATATATATATACCACCGGCTTGTAGACCAGCACGGTGCTTCGGAGACATTGGTGGTTGAATACAGAGAGTTGATTAGTATCCTCAACGTGGAGGGGCCAGGTCTCGCAACCGTAAAGCAGAACGCTACGAACCGCGGCGATGTGCACCCTACCCTTAAGGGACAGTCGGATGTCATGGCGGCGCCACAGGTGTCGCAGTTTGGCGAAGGTTATTCTAGCTTTCGCTATTCGTGATGTGATCTCCTTCTCAACACTCCTACCAGCTGCGATCAAGCTCCCGAGGTACTCAAAGCTCTCGACTACTTTTAGCTGATCACCGAAGAGGGTGAGTGCAGGCACAGGCTCCTGCCAGTCTTGGACAAGCGCTTTGCACTTGGAAGGTGCAAAACACATACCATACCTGGGGAAACCGGACGAGCAATGCTGAGGTTGTAAGAACTGAACTGAACCTCTATTGCCAAGAGGTTCAAAACGTTTTGGACTGTCTGTGCGTTGTCACCCACCAAGGCGACGTCATCGGCATATTCTAAGTCAAGGACTCCGTTCCCTGGGAGGAGTTCAACTCCACCGTTTGCTAGACCGGACAAGGCATTCTGTAGAACATCCTCTATGACAAAGTTGAAAAGGAATGGGGATATAGGGCGGCCTTGCCGAACTCCACTGGAGACGGCGAAAGTTGGCCATAGGCCCTGACCCGACCTGAGGTATGGCTATACAACTCTTTAAGGATCGACACACTTCTCAGGTACTCAATTCCTCAACAAACAGTTCCATAGTGCGGTCCTATCGACAGAGTGGAAGGCCGCGCGGATGTCTAAGAATACAATGATTGTCAGTATTTGATAAGCATGACGGTGCTCTAGCAGCTGTCAGAGGGTGACGATTTGATCGATGCATCCACGATTGGCACGGAACCCAGCTTGATCCTCACGCGTAGTATACAATCGACGGAGAATGACGGACGCCAACAGCTTTGACGCTATTGGGATAAGGCTTATACCCCTATGATTGACGCAGTCATTGCGCGGGCCCTTTTTGAAGATGGGGACAACAATCGATTCCCCCACGAGGAGGGAACTTTCTCAGTGTTCCACACTTTAAAGAACAGAACTTGCAGTCCTCTAACAAGCTTTATTCCACCATCTTCAAATAGAGCAGAGGGAAGACCATCGGAGTCCGGCGCTTTGTGACGTCCCAAGACTTGGATCTCCTTACGGATTTCCGCCTCGGAAGGTGAGTCTGTTGAAACACCATGAGACGTGTGCCGGAATAGCTATGTGAGAAGCTGATGCTGGTGGCCAGCTAAATTGTGCTTCGAAGTGCTCCGCCCAGCGTGCAAGACGTCGCTGTTGATTATGAATGGGCGAACCGTCAGCTTCGCAGATCGTTTCGCTCACACCCAAGGCTTTCCTACCGGTGATCCGGGTGAGACGGAACAGCTAACGGGAATTGCCCCCGTTCCATCTCTGATGCGCGTTGAGACCACTAAATCTCGCGGTCTCTGCGTAGGCTTGCATTAAGTTCACGTCTCGTCACGAGTCATGTTTCATTATGCTCACTGCCGGTCGGAATTGACCGACGTGCGTCAAGAAGACGTAGACTCCACAGAGATCCAAGGTGTCACGGCGCGACGTGTCAGACCACAACTAACTAAGCCAACAGAATGCAGACCATTCTTGATAAGGTAAAGTCAGGTCAGGT